CCCACACGTCCATGTGAAGAGTCTGCAGCGGAGCCTCTGTCGGAGGAAACTCGGAGGAGTGAGGGGCGGCGCGCTACCGCCCCTCAATGCAGGGAACGCAAGTAGGGGCAGGCTCCGGAGGGAGGGTAGGGAGGGACCGGGGGAGACCAGAGACAAGGAGACGGGAGGCCATACCTCGGAGACGAGGCAGGAAGGGGTGACCAAGGCGGTGGTGCCAGAGGAGAGTCTGGTGGGACAGAAGACGACACGAGCAGGGAGCAGACTCAGGACCAGACCTGGACCCTGCAACAAATATCTGACTCCACGCAGCTACCTGACCAGAATCAGCAACCGGAGGAGACTCAGTAGTAAGTGTGTACGGGCTCGACCCCGGCCGACGGGTGAACGTGGCCAAGTGTCGGCACGTCCGAGTACACGTACAGTGGGTCACCTGCTGACCCGCAGGAGTGAACTGGTCAACCCCCCCATCCTATAGGTCAGCACCACTCACCAAGTTCGTAGAGAACGAGGGGAGGTAAAGACCTAACAGGCAGCCAGAAGTGGCTGCCGGACACGGTAAGACAGTGGAGAAGCGAGCAAGAACAGGACCCCCAGAGGGGTCCGCCAGGTAGACCGCAACCGGCCGACTTAGCGGCGTAAGTGTGGTGCGGTCTCGAAAGAAGGAGCGGGAAGCACCCAAGTCAAGGGTGAAGGTGTGTAAGGCCTGAGCCAACGTGGTACCTGAGAGAGCAGACTCACCAGTACCTGCGGCAGCAGACGCACGAGCACCTAGAGCAGCAGCCTTACCAGCACCTAGAGCAGCAGCCTCAATGCTCGGGTCAGGCGGAACACACAGGTATTAGTCACCCTCATCACTAGTAGACACAGCATACATGGCAGCAAGAATAGCATCATAGTCAAGATCAAAGATAACAACCCCCGCCCTAGACAGCTCTCCGCTGCGAGGGATCTCAGTGGCGTGAGGGAACTGGTGACGCCAAGCGTCCGTCAGGCAGCCGAAGCAGCGTTTGGTGGAGTGCGAGCCCCCGCACTGCTCACCAGCACGGTTGCCGGTACGCAAGACGTAGGTACAGGGACCAGTACCCCCACCTCGCTGACGCGCAGCGTACCACTCACGAAGCTACTGGGGGGACGGGGTCTCACGAGTGCGCTGCTCCAGCTGGCGCGGACCACCACCGGAGCCACTCCTCTGCGCAGAGGCGCGACCAGCTCCACCGCTGCCGCCGCCGCCTCCGCCACCTCCGCCGCCGCCGCTCCCACCGCCACCGCCGCCGCCTCCTCCGCCTCCACTGCTGCCACCGACACCTCCACCCCCGCCACCACTCCCACCACCACCCCCTCCCCCTCCACTGCCTCCACCGCCACCTCCATCGCCCCCGCGAGCCCCTCCAGCGCCCTTGCCCCCCTTGCCCTTGCCGGTGCGACTCTCCCGCTAGGGGCAGACGCAGCTCCGACCGACTCGAAGCCAACGAGGTCGACGGCAGCAGCAGAGGCAATAGAGGGCAAAAGGGGGGAAGGGGAGCACCCCTCAAAGAAGGGGGCACGAGGGTCACCACGAGAGGCTCCTACAGCAACTATACTCTTCTCAGCTACCAGGAGGCGCTCCTCGAGGAGGTCAACGGTGAGTGTGGTAGGGCAAACAGAGAGGAAGTGGTCCCTGACCGAGCAAACGGAGTCAGGGAGCCGGGTGACTATGTAGTAGAGGGTGATGTACATTTTGGGGGGGGGGTTCTGGGCACAAAACTCAGCAGGAAGCGCAGCGCGGTAGCGGGTGTCACTAGTGCGAAGGTGCGTGATGAGGTTAGCGAGAGTGGGAAAGGCGGCGAGGTCAGGGAACAGGTACGGCAGCATGAGGTGGCTAAGGGCAGCAGTGGCAGGGGAAGATTAGCGTGCAACTATAGCGTCGTACAAGGTCTTAGCACTCTTGTACTGACTAAAGTGCGCACGCTCAGTGGTTGGTAAGTGGCGAGGCACAGCAAGACGGGCAGCAGCATTGCGGGTGGCCCACTGTGAGCGAACAGTGCTGTCAGCATCAGCAGGCGGGGCAGGAGAGGCACCAGAGGTGAGATCAAGCAGGGAGAGTCCGTCTGCCCTATTGCACTATAGGAAGAGCTGCAGGTCATCGACCCAGACCTTGAAGTCAACTGCACGACCCTCAGCATCAAAGGTAAGGACAGTGGGGGTAGCCATGACAGCAGTGGTCTAGCAGGGAGTGCTCTCACCAGTCCGGGTGGGTAGGGCCGGGGCGCGCCGGAAGGAACAGGGCGGCAACCGCGGTGGCAGCGGCTCGATAGTGGCTAGGTAGTGGCGGCTCGACGGCGGCCTCGGCGGCTCGGCGGCTCGGCGGCTCGGCGGCTCGGCTGCTCGGCGGCTCGGCTGCTGGGCGGCTCGGCTGCTGGGCGGCTCGGCGGCTCGGCGGTTTGGCGGCTCGGCTGCTGGGCGGCTCGGCGGCTCAGCTGCTGGGCGGCTCGGCTGCTCGGCTATTCGGCTGCTGGCAGCTCGGCGGTGAAGGGGCCGGGGAGGGGGCCGAAAGGGGCGGCGACGGGGCCACAAGGGGCGGCGACGGGGCTGTTAAGGGCGGCGACGAGGCCGCTAGGGGCGGCGACGGGGCCGCTAAGGGCGGCGACGAGGCTGCTAGGGGCGGCGACGGGGCCGCGTAGGGGTGGCGACGGGGCCGGTAGGGGCGGCGACGGGGCCGCGAGGGACGGCGACGGGGCCGCTAGGGGCGCCGACGGGGCCGCGAGGGGGCCTGGAAGGGCGGCGATGGGGCCGCTAGGGGCGGCGACGGGGCCGCGAAGGGGCAGCGAGGGGCCTGGAAGGGCGGCAACGGAGCTGCTAGGGGCGGCGACGGGGCCGCGAAGGTGCCGCAAGGGGCCTGGAAGGGCGGCGACAGGGCCGCTAGGGACGGCGACGGGGCCGTGAAGGGGCCGCGAGGGGCCTGGAAGGGCGGCGACGGGGCCGCGAATGGGCCTCGAGGGGGCCTAGAAGGGCGGCGATGGGGTCGCTAGGGGTGGCGGCGGGGCCGCTAGGGGTGGCGGCGGGGCCGCTAAGGGTGGCGCGAGGGGCCGCGAGAGGGCTCGACAAGAGGGCGACCAGCGGGGCGCGCCTCGGGCAGGGGCGACTCGCGCTCCGATCAGAAAAAAAATGGATTTCAGTGGTGGGCCCTAGACAGCGTTCCCACTAGGGAACCTGTTCTATACCATGTGAAGAAATGAGGAATGAATGAACCAGGAAAGAGGTGGGTACAAGTAGAAAACCTAGAAATGTTGTACCCCATATTGTCTACCCCACTACAGCCTACACAGACTATAGCATATCAGTTTGACAAGAGGAACAATTTTAAGATGTATGAAAGAACAGATACGATTAATTTTCAATATGAAAGTTTATCAGAGACATTTTTATTGTCTAAGAAAACTGATGCATATATTAATAGATTTCGTAATGCAACTTTCGTATGATATTTGAGGCTACGCTCTACAGTGTCAACTCAACTTACGGACTTGTCAGAGTAAGGAGTATTTAGCAAGCCTATGGACGTGATAAATGGAACACCAAATGGCATGATTGTTCGTATTCACAATCGTTCGTATTTGATTTACAGTATAGTGATTACGCGCCAGTAGTTTATTGCTGTAGAATATTATCATAACACGATTTCTACTCGATAGTGTACCTGCTCACTACCATCATTTACCTGTTAGAGTAGTGTATAGTATCGTGACTGATTGTGTGATGCTTAAGTAGAAGTACCTCTCTATGAAGCGACTCAATAAGGCAAATAACAGATCCATACTACCATATAATTACAATATATTATAGAAATATGTTTGTAGTTCATTGCTATAATCAAAATTTGGTCTAAAAAACTAGTACAGGATTTCAAAAGTCCAGATTATCGTTGTTGAATCTTTGCCCTTGCCTGCTTGGCTCTCCAATTCAGGAACACTGCCCATGTATCTTCCTGGATAGAAACTCAAGCAACGCTTTCTTCTCACATCCTCTCACTTTGGTCTTTCCCGTCTTCCCTTCACAAACCCTCACATACCCCCTCAGTCTGCTGTTTTTCCCTACGCTTCTGCTTCTGCTTTTGTTTCGGTTGCCTCTCCCCTCACTAAATGCTCATGTGTCCCTTCAAACAGAGGCTTGTCTGCATGCAGCAGCATGGCAGCATCGGCAACAGCATGTCAGCACTGGCTGCACTCACTTTGATTGCCACGTCACGTGCTGCCTCTGCCTCTGCACCTCCTGCCCCATCTGCTGCTCTCGCCTCACTGACAGCTGCTTAGTCCATTCAAAGAAAGGTTGGTACGTCTGCAGCATCACAGCAGCACCGGCTGCACTCTCCCTGATTACCACGTTGCCTGTTGCCTCTGCCTCTGCACCTCCTGCCCCATCTGCTGCTCTCGCCTTACTTACAGCTGCGAAGTATGTTCAAAGAGAGTTTGGTGTTGCCTGCAACAGCACAGCAGCACTGGCTGCACTCTCATAAATCGCCACGTCTCCTGCCGCCACCGCGGCCACCACTGCTGATGTGATTAAACAGGCATGTATGAAGTAGTTATACCTGATGCAGGTACATCTGATGATGGTACATATGATACAGCTACAGCAGGAGCAGTCACTACAGCTGGCAGCGATGGTTCAACAACTCCTCTTTCAGCTGCTGATGCCATTTCTTCCCCCTGCTATCTCTGCTTCCCCCTCACTCCCCCCTTCGCCTTTCCTCTGCCCATTCTCCTCCACATCATTTTCATCCCTACGACTTCCCTCCTCACTCTCTTCTTCCCTCCTCACTCTCTTCTTCTCTCTCCCTTCCAAATTTAATCCCTTGCCTCACTCCCAGCTCTCTCTCTCACTTCCTCCTCTCCCTCCTCTCCCTTCCCCTCCACCAGCCTACCCTCCATTATTTCTCCTCCTTCCTGCCCTACTCCTACTTCCCTATTGCAATTTCCCTCCACCCGCGCTCTATCCTCCTGCATCCTATCACTATCACCTTCTTAAGTATTTCCTCCCTTCACCCCTGCACTCTCCTTCGCCCCTCCTTGTACCTCGACCCCTCGTTCCCCCTCCACCTCGCCCTCCCCCTCCACCTCGCCCTCCCCCTCCACCTCATCCCCCCCTTGCACCTTTCCACCCTCCTCTGCCTGTCTTGGTTGCTGCCTAACTCCCACATCCCCGATGCACCTTCCCTCCTCTGGCTCTCTCTGTTGCTCCTCCCCTTCACTCCTATTCCCCCCCTCCAACTCTCCTTCCTTCATCCCTATTCTCCGCGTTGCATCTCCTCCTTCCCCTATATCTCTCCCCTTCTCTCCCTGTCTTTTGTCCTCCTCCTCTCTCCCATCCTCCTCCTCTCTCCCATCCTCCTCTATTTCATCCTCCCCCTCTGTTTCATCCTCCTTTCTTTCATCCTCCTCCTCTCCTGCATCCTCCTCCTCTCTTATATCCTCCTCTCTTTCATCCTCCTCCTCTCTTTCACCCTCCACCTCTCTGCCATCCTCCTCCACTCTCCCACTATCCACCACTCTCCCTTTCGGCCCATCCTCTCCCTTCCCCCCCTCTCTCCCCTCCTCACTCAAATACTGTTTCACCTCCTCTTCCTCCACAGAAGGTAGATCAGAATCAAATGATGACCTAGACTGTCGATCTCGCCGCCTACTGTCAAGCTTCCTCAAAGCACCCCATCCTGCGACTGCTCTTTGCCATCCTCCTCCCCCTTGCAAACCCCTTCCTAATCCTCCTTCCACTTCCGATCCTCCTCCTGCATTCAATGCGCTCCCCTCTTCCAATGCCCTTCTCTCTACCGCTCGCCCACTTGAAGTCTCTCCTTCCTCCAAACCACTAAGCACAGCTAGGTTCTGTGAACATTCAAATGAAGTTTTACCTGAATCTTCTCCTGAATCATCAGTCCTCAGCTTCTCCTCTCCCTCATTACCGCCCCACCAGATGGCCGTGTTGCTGCTACCACACTTGTTATTGTCACTCTCATCATCCTCTTCAATGCCAGCCTTATTGTTACTCTCGGTCTCATCCGCATCCTCCTCCTCCTCCTCCTCCTCCTCCTCCTCCTCCTCCTCCTCCTCCTCCTCCTCCTCCTCCTCCTCCTCCTCCTCCTCCTCCTCCTCCTCCTCCTCTTCCTCTTCCTCTTCCTCCTCCTCCTCCTCCTCCTCCTCCTCCTCCTCCTCCTCCTCCTCCTCCTCCTCCTCCTCCTCCTCCTCCTCCTCCCCCCCCTCCTCCTCCTCCTCCTCCTCCTCCTCCTCCTCCTCCTCCTCCTCCTCCTCCTCCTCCTCCTCCTCCTCCTCCTCCTCATCATATCTCCGTACAAGCTTTGCAAACCCAACAGCACCAATCTCCACCTCTCCCAGATAAGACCTCCCCAGGCTCGGAAGCACCCCAAATCCAGATCCCACCTCCCCTGAAGAAGACCTTCCCAGGTTTTGAAGCAGCTGAGAAACAGGTCCCACCTCCCCTGAATAGGACCTTCTCAGGCTTTGAAGCGGCTGAGAACCAGGTTCCACCTCCCCTGAATAGGACCTTCTCAGGCTTTGAGGCGGCGGAGAACCAGGTTTCACCTCCGTTGAATAGGACCTTCTCAGGCTTTGTGGCTGCAAAAGCGACTCTGAAGCACTCTCCAGGTCCCGAGAGCGTGAACTTCCAACCTCCCTTGCTCCCACGTCTGGAGTCAAACCAACCTCAATCACTCCCTTCTGGCCCACACTCTTGCTTCTCACCACTCTTCCCCCCTCGCGGGCCATGGGAACAAGCACTGTCTCTTCAGCAGGCGCCGCTTTACGACTGAAAACACTGGGCAAATTGCGAAAGAACCTGGGAGAAATAGGGCTAGTTGTCCCGAAGGTTTCCCTTCTGTGTAGGCCCTTGCTGCTCAACGCCAAGATGGTCCCCCTCACCTTACCGAGCGTCTGCAAAAACCTGTTCCCTCCTCCTCCTCCTCCTCCTCCTCCTCCTCCTCCTCCTCCTCCTCCTCCTCCTCCTCCTCCTCCTCCTCCTCCTCCTCCTCCTCCTCCTCCCCCCCCCACTCCCTCTCCTCCTGCCCCTCCTCTCCCTCCTTTAATATCCCAGCCCCAGTTAGAGTCATCACCGCTGAGAGTCATACGTCGAGGCAAACGACCCATGTTATGGGCCCTTCTTGACTCATCAGAGGCTATCCCTGACACTGCGGCTGCTGCTGCTGCCACTGCCACAGACGCTATGTTCCTTGCACCTCCCTTTATCCCCTCCTTCACGTTCAACACCCTTTCATTGATCCCTTCCCTAACATTCAACGCCCCATCCTTGATTTCTTCCTTGACGTGCCACGCCCCTTCCTTCACTTCTTCCTTGAAATGCAACACCCCTTCCTTAACTTCTTCCTTGAAATGCAACGCCCCTTCCTTTAATTCTTCCTTGAAATGCAACGCCCCTTCCTTAATTCCTTCCCTGACATTCAATGCCCCTTCTTTAATCCCCTCCCTCACGTTCAACGCCCTTTGTTTGATCCCCCCTGCCACAGTTACAGCCCCACTGGCAATCTCCCCAGCTGCTGCTGCCAGGGAGTGACATAATCGCACCCTCCTCCTCTCCTCCTCCTCCTCCTCCCCCTCCTCGGTCCCTATGCCCGGGATCTCCCAAAGTAGCATCATGGCCTCTTCCCTTGCAGATATCATCTCCCCGCCCTTCTTCCCTTCCTCCTCTCCTTCCTCCTCCGCATCCTCCTCCTCATCCCCCTCCTCTCCCTCACCCTCCATCCCACTTCGATCACTCGTCCAATCAATCTTCCCTATTATCTCTCCCTTCTCCTCTCCTCCAATTCCCACACTCCTGCTGTCAAAACTGCTGCCTTCAGATGGGCGGCGTCGAGCAGCATTTAGCCGGGAAAGCATGCATGGTTTGGCCGGCGTCAGTACCGGATTCAACCCCTCAGCACCATACCCATCCACCTCACCACCCTGCCCTTCACAGCTCCCAACCATCTTCCCGCCAGCAGCAGCACCGCTCTGCTCTCTGCTCTCTGATCGCTGCTGCTCCAAATATTTGTTTTGCCTCTCTTCCTCCTCCATCTGCACCTCCAGCTGCTGCTCTAGCTTCTCCCACACCAGCTTACCTGTCTCCCTCTCCCTCTCCCCACCTCCTCCCCTTCCCGCTCTCAACCCCTCTGCACTGCACTCGTTCACCTTCGCCCTCCTCCCCTCCAATCCCTTCTCTTCCTCCTCCTCTCGCTCTCTCTCTTCCACGTCCACCTTTCTCTCCTTTCGCACTCTCTCCCCTTTTTCAGGCCTCAGGACATGCCCTCTATTTGACAGCTCTCTACGTTCCATCCTTGACAGTTCAGAGTATTTCGCCAGAGGAAGGTATGCACGAGGAGGCAATGGGGGTTCTGGCGAAAAACACGTCTCAAAGAGGAACTGGGAAACCTGAGGACGCACCTGAGCACGCACCTCAGAAAACACCTGAGGGTGGACCTGAGTGTGCAGAAAAGCGCTAGCGCCTGAAATGGTTGCTGCTGCAGAGGTAAGATTAGAATCGGAAGCAGAGGAGTGTCCACCAGAAAAAGAGCCAAAATGCATCCTTTCAGCACTAGAGCCGTGCGAGCGACGATGGGAAACGTGCCTGCTGCGGCTGGGGCCTGAGGAGGCACCTGGCGAAACACCTGAAGATGCACCTGGAAACTCACCTGAGGCATCTGAGGGGGTAGCTGGCGAGGAGAAACGAGGACGGAGCTCTGAATGATGGCGCCTGTTGAGAGTGGAATGTGCACTCATACTGCGGCTATGACTTGGTCTCGGTGGCTTTCCCTGTGATTGTTTCACCTGCTGCTTCACCTGCTGAATCACCTGCTTCTGATCCTGCTCCTGTTGCTCATCGGTCTGCTGGTCTGTCAGCTTATCTGCATTCTTATCTGTTTGCTGATCCATTTGAATTTCATCGCAGCTCTGTGGCTCCTCCTTCTCCCCCTCCTCCTTCTCCCCCTCCTCCTTCTCCCCCTCCTCCTTCTCCCCCTCCTCCATCTCCCCCTGCTCGTTCTGCTGTTGTGACAGGAGCCCCTTTCCCTTCACTCTCTCGGCCCACTCCTCCTCCTCGTTTTCATCCTCCTGCTGCTCGGTCTGCTGATGAGGATGATTTTTTTTCCCCTTCACTAGGTCAGCCCACTCGTCCTCCTCGTTTTCCTCTTCCTGCTGCTCGTTCTGCTGATGAGGATGAAACTTCTTTCCCTTCATTTGCTCGGCCCACTCCTGCCACCGCTCTTTGGAGTGCGTTCTACTAGACGCAGACCCAGCTTGAGGAGAGGAAGCGGCACCAGAGGAAGCCGCAGCGGCTGCAGCTGCAGCGGATTTGAGGGATGCCAAGCAGCGGATGCGGGCAATTTCTCGCTTGAACTGCGGGAAGGAGGTGGTGAGATCAACTGCATGTCGCTGCGCAGATGGCCCGAGAGAGGAGGCCCTTTCCTCTCGGGGAAGACAGGAGCGGAGAGGGGAGGAAGAGGAGGAGGAGGAAGGGGAAGATTCTGCCGAGAGGGAGGGAAGGGAGCACGGAGGAACAACAGGTAGGTCATGTGGTTCTGAATCAGTCGCCTGCTGTGTCTGTGTCAGCTGCGGCTCCTGCTGTGTCTGCTGTTTCCTCTGCTCCGTCTGCCCTACTTCTCCGCCATGACAAATGATTCTGAACGGCTGCTGCTGTTCTTCGGCTGAACGGTGCGAAGATTCTTTCGGAGACTCCGACATTGTGCGATTCTGGCTGGGCTTAAAGGTGACAGGATCAGGGGGGCATGGGTGAGAAATGATCATAGGCATTAGAGTACTTGGCTTTAAAAATATAAATAAGGGGGGCTTCGTGAGTTGCAGGCAGAAATGCGCCGTTCGATTGTCAACTTCAAGTTGATCGAGTCCCCACCCACTTTCTTGTTCCATAATGTTTCAGGAAACGTGTGCGGCTGGTCTGTAACAGAAACGTGAACGACGACAATCCTCGACACGCTCAAAAACAGTGCTCAGGCAGATCTGCCTCACGAACAGCGTTTTGGTCAAACATTGGGTTTTGAGGGTGAGATGAAATAAGGACGCGTCAATTCCCTTCTCGTTAAGGCAATCGAAACTGCGCAGGTTAGTATTTTGGCGGGATTAAAAAAGTTCGAGAAAGTTGTGGTTACCACAATCACGAATTTAATGCGGTGGAGGATCGAGCGTGCAAGATCCATCACCAAAATGAGGTGTAGTTGACCCGTCCTAATAACTCCCAAAACAACCAGGCAAGAAAAGGTCAGCCCTGCCGCGGGAATTCCAATGGTTGACCTTGGTGCCTTGATTAGCTGGGCAACTCTCAGGGCGCGAACGTGGTTCTCCGCCGGCACCCTAGCCAATCAAACAAGAATTTAGACCAGCTGCGCTCCCAAGACCACAGTTGACCGAACAGTAGACAACGACGTAGTGTGCTGTTCCCTTCCAATTCCAGGGTGAGGGATGTGCTGTTTTGTGTACAATTCCCTTCCATGCACACCCACGGCTTGAGATGTAAATATGTGTAACAAACTACAAAAATATATGGAAACATCCATAGAATCTATACATTTGACAACTCTCCCACATCAGCAAACCCTTGCACGCAATATGCTTGTCTCCATATTGTATATGCGAATTAAGTTGTATACATTGCCTTTTTATGCAGAAAATCTCCTACATTTGTTACTACATAAAGAATTTTGTGTATAATATTACGAGCATTGCAGCGTTAGTTAGTCGGTGTGTAGTCCGGATCTTGCTAAGGGTTGATCGCAAATAGTGCACAGCGGAAGTGTTGATGAGTGATGTTGGAATAACCGAAAGGTATTCGTAACATTCCCGAAGGCTCTCCACTCACGCGCCATTCTTTAATGAAACAACGCGACTATATCATTACCGCAACAGCTCATATAGAGCATGCGAAAGATCGAGAATCACCTGAAGGTCAACAGTCGAAGACAGTCAATGGTCGTGACTCATGACCGCTCAGTAACCGCACTTGGTAGTTACGCGATGCAACATGGTAATTGTCAAGAAGAGCAACAGTCGTTGTTACTATAGCAATGTAGTTCAGAAAGGAATGTACCCCTCAGAGTACATGGCTAGCTAAGATTGCTACTTATATCCTTGTACTCCTAGCTTATATTCATCTTGTTCTCTTTCAACCTTTATTAAGAAGGTCACTACAAGACTACATTATCTTCTCTCAAACTTGACAAACTTTTCACATCTACTACAAAGCGTAGGCCGACTCGGCTGTTCCAGCACTGCGTGTGAAGAAATGAGGAGTAACTGGCTCCGCGGCTATAGACGAGCGGCAGGAGCAACGGACCCACTGGCGACTGGTGCAACAGGCTCACTGGCTACCGAAGCAAGGGCGACGGTCTACAGGCCCTGCAGGCGACACGACAGCTACCTTCACACAACCTCCTCCAGCTGCCCCACACCTCTCGACACACACCCCCTGCTCAAACCCTAGTTCTACTCCCAAAGCACCCCCCTTTCACACACCCCCTGCTGCACCCTAGGTTCACTCACACCCCACCCCCTAGCACCACTCCGTCGACTCCCACACACCCACCCCCCTCAGCGGTAGCTGCAGCTGTGGGAGACATAGGAGGAGGAGCAGGGGAGACCACACACCCGCCACCCCCTACTCGCCACCCCCAAACCCTAACACAGGGCAGGGCGGGATGGTGGTGCACGGGTCCCCGGTGCGCCGCGCCAGGCGACGGAGCATGGCAGGGGCGGTGCCAGGGCAGGGTCGGGGCAGGGCCTGGGCAGGGCCTCGACAAGGCCGCGACAGGGTCGATAGGGGCGACGACGGGGCCGTGAAGGGCGACGGGGTCGCTAGAGGCGGCGACGGGGCCGCGAAGAGTGGCGACGGGGCCACTAGGGGCGGCGACGGGGCCGCGAAGGGCGGCGACGTGGCCGCGAAGGGCGGCGACGAGGCCGCTAGGGGCAGCGACGAGATCGCTAGGGGCGGCGACGGGAGCACTAGAGGCGGCGACGGGGCCGCTAAGGGGCCGCGAGGGGCCTGGAAGGGCGGCGATGGGCCGCGAAGGGGCCGCGAGGGGCCGAGAAGGGCGGCGACGGGGCCGTTAGGGGCGGCGATGGGGCCGCGAAGGGGCCGCGAGGGGCCTAGAAGGGCGGCGACGGTACCGCTAAGAGGTGGCGACGGGGCCGCTAAGGGTCGCGCGAGGGGCGCGCCACGGGGCGTGCAGAACACAGAGTAGAAGCGGAAGCAGTTAGGTGGGCCCACAGGCCAGGAGCGTAGATGCTTTGATAGCATGTGAAGAAATGAGGAATGAAGAAGAGAGGAGGTTGCACTAGCAGCAGTTGGCATACATATAGGAAACCCTAATTGGGTTGTACTCGCTATAGAGTACCCCACTGTAGGCCAGACAATTATAACATTATGACAGTGCGACGTTTGGTGAAACAGTGCGCGCAAAGTTGGCGAAGCCCCGTTACCAGGCCAGGGCGAACAACGGCTGCTGCTGTACGCGATGTTGCAGGTCGCGGTAAGAAGTGTCGAGAAAATTCCTTACTGTAACCAATAACCCCAAATTAAGAAACATATGTTTATCCTACATGTAAGAAATTACAGTTCCTTACCATGCTCTCACTTTAGCGGGTACAGCGAGGGTCACGCGTCAGCTGGCTCGGCTTACAAACCCGCCCCAAACCATTCCCGAGCCCTTCCTCCCCCCCCTCCCCCCCCCCCCCCCCCTTCTTCCACCATTCTCCACCCTTTCGAGCCTCATCTACCTGACAGTCAAATGTTAATTTATGCTAGTAGGCTACAGTGAGCAGCACAATAGGGAGTACAACAATTTTCTACTCCTCACATTCCTAGTCAATACATTTCGTTGTTCAACTTCTAAGATAGTATCAGAGCAGCGCGCCTCTTCAGAACAGTACGCCTCACCCTACAGAGCAACACGTGTCAAACATTTATGCTATAGTCTTTCTAGGCTGTAGTGGGGTAGACAGTATGGGATACAGTTTTCTAGGGCTACATATTTGTACCCAATTCATTTCCTAGTTCATCATTCCTCATTCTCTTCACATGGTATAGAGCAGGTTGCCTAGTGGGAACGTTTCCTAAGGCCCACCATGGAATCGATTTTTTTTTTTTACCTGCCCGTAGCACGCTTCGCCTCTGCCCTAGTCGCGCCCCGTGTGCCTGCCCTCCCGTCGCGTCCCCTGCCCTTAGCGGCCGGTCGCGCCCTCTTAAGGCCCCGTCGCGGCCCCTCTCACGGCCCTTCGCAGCCCCTCTCATGGCCCTTCGCGTCCCCTCGCGGCCCCTCGCGGCCCCTTCGCTGCTCTTCGCGGCCCCTCGCGGCCCCTTCGTGGCCCCTCGCGCCCCCTTCTCGGCCCCGTTGCCGCCCTTCGCGGCCCCTCGTGGCCCTTCTCGGCCCCGTCGTTGCCCTTCGCGGCCCCTTCACGCCCCTTCGCGGCCCCTTCTCGGCCTCGTCGCCGCCCTTCGCGGCCCCTTCACGGCCCTTCGCGGCCCCTTCTCAGCCCCTTCGCCGCCCTTAGCAGCCCCTTTGTGGCTCCTCCACAGCCCTTCGCGGCCCCTCCTCGGCTCTTCACGGCCTTGCCGCCCCGCCGTCGCCGCCCCAGCAGCAGGTGCCGTCGCGCCGTGACAGCCGCTGCCTTCGGTGCCGTGGTCGCAGCCGCCGCCGACAGCAGTAGCCACCGCCGCCGCTGCCGTGACAGCCGCAACCGCCGCTGCCGGGGCCGCAGCCACCGCCGCCGCCGCCGCCGACAGCAGCACCCGCCGCCGCCGTCCCGGCCCTGCCCTGCAGCTAAGGCGCGGCTCTCCTCTGCCGCCCTGTCGCGGTCCTGTCCCTGCCAGCGCGCCTCGGCCCTGCCCCACCACTTGCGGACCTCTACCCACCCGCCCTGGTAAGAGCACCGCCGAGCCGCGCCTCTGCTACTAAGCTGCTCCTAGCCTTCCACTGTTGTTGCTAGCCTTCTGCTGCTGCTTTCATGGCTACCCCTAGTGTTCTCACCTTTGATGCTGATGGTCGGGCTGTCGACTTTGAGGTCTAGGTCGATGATCTGCAGCTTTTCCTGCAGCGAGATAGGAAAGACGGTCTCTCACTGTTCGACCTCGAGTCTGGTGCCTCTGCTGCCCCTGCTGCCGATGCTGATAGCACGGTTCGCTCAAAGTGGGCCACACGCGATGCTGCTGCCCGTCTTGCTATGCGAATTCCCTTGCCATCCACTGAGCGCGCCCACTTTAGTCAGTTGAAAAGTTCTAAGACCTTGTACGACGCTGTAGTTTCACGCTACTCTTACCCTGCCACTGCAACACTTAGCCGCCTCATGCTACCGTACCTCTTCCCTGACCTTGCTGCCTTTCCCAAAGTCGCTCACCTCATCACGCTCCTCCGCACTAGTGACACTCGCTACCGCGCTGCGCTTCCTTCTGAGTTTTGCGCCAAGAACCCCCCCCCCATGTACATCACCCTCTACTATCTAGTTACCCGGCTCCCTGACTCCCTTCGCTCGGTCAGGGACCACTTCTTCTCTGTTTGCCCCACCATACTCACCGTTGACCTCCTCGAGGAGCGCCTCCTGGTAGCTGAAAAGAGTATAGTTGCTGTAGGAGCCTCTCGTGGTGACCCTCGTGCCCCCTTCTTTGAGGGGTTCTCCCCCTCCCCCCTTTTGCCCTCTATTGCCTCGACTGTTGCGGTCGACCTCGTTGGCACCGA